GCTACCTGTAATGATATCCCCACGAACCATCACTCAGAGATGCTGAGCAGGATCCCTGCCAGAAGTCAAGTCACCCTTATCTCAAGCACTTAATGCTACGGCTCGGAGTAAGACTCGGGCTTTGGAAAGATGCCAGCAACTCTGCTGGGACTACTGGTTTTGTGAGGCTGCTGGAATCCAAAATGAGCAGGAAAATCAAATCCCAACTTCTACAGAAAAGGAACATTTTGCTTTCCTTCTGCGGAAGGCACCTGCATGCTGTCTCACTGTCCCCAGAGGGCCCGTCCCGTCTGGGTCCCATCCGCAGTTCATTTTTTGCCCCCCTCCCCAGGTAAGCGAGTAGCCCACCCTCCTCTCGTCCTCACATTAAGGATACGGCCACACGAGCATTTTGTATGTTTGCACATTAGCAAGGGCTGATGCTTTCTCTCTCCTTCAGCCTCCAAATTCTTTAATATTTCAGATCTTTGCACATTACTTTATACCTCAGAGACATGACCTCGCATCACGGTGCAATCATTTTACTAAATCTGTTGGCTTTCCTAACTCTGTTTTGCATATCCTTAGCGCTTTATTATTCCACACAGGGTTCTACAGCCAAGAAATGTATGAATTAAATAACATCCACGACAGAGAGTTATGAAATGAAGGCATGTCATCCTCAGACGTTCATACTAGCAATACAAACAACAGGGAGGAAGAAGTCGAGGTGTTTATGTTGGAAATTTAGACCTCCTGGGCTCCAAAATCCAAGATGCTCTCTACCCTTAGCTTATGTTGGAGGGAGAGCTCTGGAAATAATCTGTCTGCTCTGAGAAACTGAAGCATTTTGGTCTTCGAGTGCCATTTGTTATGCTAAGCCCTGGAGAAATTGAAAGTTGGCTGAAAGAAGGTGGGTAAAATGTACAAATGTATTCACTGCTGAAATTGTCTCCGAAATTCTCGCTCAAATTCTCTATTTTACTGCAAACACTATTAGGAGCAGCCTAATAACTTCCTGCTACTTTTCAACTGATCACTAAGGCTTTGGGTCTTATTTAAAGCTCAGGAATAGGAGGCAAAAAGGCAGCGGTTGCAGAGGGATCCTGGCATACAAATAGGACAACAATCAAGAAGGCTCCTGGAAGACCATTTCCTCAGTACTCAGCTCCTTTTTCCACCTGGAACGTGTTGGTATTTCTCCTTTTCATAATGAAAAGGATGCTGCAGATGAGTGATAACAATGGCAAGTTCTACTTAAAATGTGATTTTGTTACGGGGGTGCGGCATCAAAGAAGTTAGATTTTTGTCTTCGTCCTGTTTTCTCTCCACTTGTTTTGTGTATTTGAGCATTTACCTGGTCAGCAGAGGGACAGCTCCCAGCTGGGGGGCTGCAACCACTGCTGCTCGGCTCTGCCTCCGGAGCTTTTAGCTAACAGCAGGCACAGAGGGGCAAATGATTCGAGCTCATTCTGGATGGCTGCCAAGCTCCCAACAAACCCTGCACGTGCTCCTATGTCCACATCTCTGCTCCGCGTGCAGTTGGCCACTCTCTGTTAGATTTAAGTGGTGCAGAGTTCAAAGGAGTCTGAAAGCAAAGATGTGTAACAAGAATACAGCCTTGTGTACTTATGTAACACCAAGCAAAAACAAAAACCTGAAAGTTGAACAGAGAGGACCCGCTGCCTTTCTTTTATCTGCAAACATGTCCTTCACAGTGCCAGTAATGGACTGACAAAAAAAGCACGCACCATTTTAGCAACATAAACAAACCTTCACGAGTATCAAGGATTTACACAGCCTGCCCATGAAGAACAGAGCGGGTTTTTGTGCAAGGAGAAACCCAGGGACAGCCCCGGTGCACAAACACCCAACACAGAGACACTTGGGTGCGCAGCTGCCCCGTACACCCCATACGATGCACAAGCTGCCAGTCACCACCAGGTATTGAGGGCACGGGCTCAGGTAATGCTCAGACTAAGTCACCCGTTGGTACAGGACACGGTTGTGAAGCTCAGCAGTTCGAGGGCAGCTGCTTCGATGCTTACTGAATTTCACAAAGCCACACCGGGTTCCCTTCACACTGCAAACTTCTGACCGATGGTGGAGATAGTGGTGTGTAGATACCATCTGCCTCCTGCTCACAGAGAAAAGATTAATTGCAAGGCGTGCTGTGCTGTTCCTGCCCCACAAGCCCCTCCGACGAAGCTGCCAGGCTCTGGTTTCCTACCCACGGAGCAGCAACCTTTTGTTTGTCCACTGGATTTGTGGCTTCACCAAACAGCAGATCGGAAATGTGCTGAGAGCACTAGAACCTCCCACAGGAAATTTTATTTCCAAGGCCAAACTGTTCTGTAAATAATTCCCTATTACAGATGGGAATCACAATAAAAAATAGCAAAGTCATCTTAAGCTTTTAGTTAGAATTTAAAGGAAAAAAATCCACCCGACCTGACACAATCGATGCAAAAGTCACTCCCAATACTGAGCAAACACAGAACAAAAGAAAAAGGCAGATGAAAACGAGCAGCTGGTTGCTTGAGACCAGTGAACTGTGAAACTAAGCATTTAAATGTTTACAACTGTAATGGTTTTTCTCTGAAGTTCTTTCTCTGCACGGTCTACAACAAGCTGACTTGAGCTACAAGCAAATAAGCTACAGAAAAGCGTGAAAGTCAATCATCAGAACTAGGTACATAACACCCGGCAATACATACGGCAACTTCTCAGATTACCGGTCGTAATAAAGCCTGCAACGCTGGGAGCATCTGGCCATCATTAAAATGAAAGCCTGGGGAAGAGCCTGGGCAAACTTAATCCGACTCATTATGAGAGGAGAACACTGCACACACCTCGCTGCTTCACTCTGCTGTTTGCCTTCGACACATTCTGTTTATGATTTTTTATCTTTTTACTTGAAAGAATCAGACGATGCATCTAACCCAGGAAAACAAACAGCCCTTTATCTCCAGCATCCCCGGAGATCAAACAGCTCTATGTCCTCGGGAGAGTATCAGCAGCTAACGATTCCCCATTCCTAGGGTGCCAAGCAGCTTAATTACAAAAAGCACTGTTTTTACAGAAGTTGTTTGTTCAAGTTAATGGTGCACAGCATTACCAGGAGATCCTGTGCACCAGCCCTGTGGACAAGCCCTGTGCTGAATTCCCTGGTGTCCTCTCTCCCCATCTCAGCAAACGATTCCACTGGTAAAACAGCATCAAAATTCTGCTTTTGTGCTCTCCGTTGCTCCCCAACTCTCTCTGACCTTACACGAAACATTCACTCATTTGCCATTCCTCTGCTGGGTTGAGCAGCAACATTTCCATCCCTTAATAATCTGTAGAATAAAACCCTCACTATACCTACTGCTACAGAAAATTAAGCAGGAAATAAAAGGCAGACGTACATTATGGCAGCTTTGGGACTCGCCCAGAAGCCCAGCTCCATTTTACCTATTCGGGTTGTTTCACTTGATGATGTAGAAATACATTTGACAGCCGCCACTTTCCACATATATAGAAAGTGAAATCCTGTGGCATACAGGAATCATTTTAATGTAAAATGCAGCAGAATAAAGTTAATTGAAGGTCATCGGTGTTTTGTGTGTGCACTTGTGTTTGTGGGTTTTGTGTATGTGGGTTTTTGTTTTGTTTTTGTTTGTTTGTTTTTTTAATAATTTGAAATGCCTCCACTGTCTATCAGCATGGGGGAAAAAAGGTAATTTTGTTAAAGCGGATGGAATTACTATGAGATAAGCAGAGGTTAAATGTCAGGATAGACAGCAGAGGCTTAATCTTCCTCCACCACACAGCAGACCAGCAGAAGGTACTGGAAAGGGGCATATTTAAGGGAAAGGGGGGCGAAGAAGAGCTTGTGCATCAAAAATGTGCTTGCAAATTTGAACAGACCCAGGTTTTGATCAAAGACTATCAAGTTTCCCGTTAATTAGGAGTATTCAGAGATCAGACTTTTTTTGGAACAGGTAAGTGTAATAAGCAAAACCTCTTACCTTAGGAGGAGCCAAGTGGCACCGCATGAGTAGACGGGCACAGAGAGGAGAGCAGGGGCTGTGCTGCCAAGAGACCCCAGCTGGCCTCCCATGCCACAGCGAGGGAAACATACCCAAAAAAACCATTAAAGACACAGTTCTATCACCAACTCCCCCTGCCAAAGCACAAACCATTCTTCTGATGGAAGCAGAAAACCGGATGCCCATTTGGTCACGTACCCTGACTGGAGCATCCAGGGGGCAACGCTCCTGAGAGCGCTGCTAGAGACAAAGGGGCTGCGCTTCCAAGAGGGCCAACAGCCTCCAGTTGGGGGGCTGCAAGTCACCTCCCCGTGCCCTACGAGCTGACAGGAGACGGACACTGTGTTCTACAGGTTGTGCTAAAGAGATGCTCCTGGAAAGCAGGAGTTGTAATGAAGAGGTGGATAACATTTGCAGTAAGTAAACCTTGCGGCTTCAGACCAGGGCAGCAGGGAGCAGGATGCGATGAGGACGGTTCCCAGGGCAGGATCCACACTGCGCAGGCCAGCCGGGGGCAGGAAGGCAGCAGCCTAAAGATGGATCACTAAAGATGCACTTATGAAGCTTTTTTACAAGTGTTCGATGAATTTAACTTCAGCATCACCCTCACAAATAATGAGATGAACACCGATGCTTTGAATGGCAGGTTTCATACAAAGTCATCTGCAAATAACTTGGATTATAATCAGTTACCATTAATACAAAATATAAAGAAAGCATAGAAACTAGTGAAATATAAAATAAGGGAATAATTTTTCTAAATAACATCCTAAATGAAACAGTTAATGAAGCTGAGAAATCCTGGTAGGTTATTCTATAGATCACTGAGAAAAAGAGTTCTAAAATGTATCTGCTTATTCAAGAAGAGTACAATAACATTCCTAAAGAAATACAAGTGGAATCGAAGTTTCATTTCTTCATTTCCTTTTTGACAATAAAAATGAGTTATGAAAAAAAAAGAATAGCCTCATCATCATTCTGGCTGCTTTATCTCAGAGTTTTGAGAGAGATTATCGTGTGCATTTAACACTTTTCCTAATTTCAGTATTATCTGTACGAGCAGCTGGACGTCCTATCGTTGTCACTCCCTAGGGGCACCTGCCATTGTGCAAGAGGAACAATTTGCCATCATATATGATAAGCTAAACACTTGGGGAAGGTGGCATTTCGAGCAAAACTGGCACTGCACAGACTGCAGCTCGGTTCAGAGACAGATTATGGGATCTGAATGTCACTCAATGATACTGCTCCATTTCAGTAGTAACTAATAATTACTTAGTAAGTAAGTAAGAAAAGAGACTGAAGCAGTGATCATGGATGCCCAAATGAGTAGCACATGCAGCAAAGACATCCCAGCAACTCAGTAAAGAGAAAGCGAGTAGACTACAGTTATATTTAAATCATTTACAACGTAAGAGGGAACAATGTCCTCCTTACAGAACTTCCACAATGTTTTAATGCAGATTTTTTCTATTATCAAGTTTAATTATGAATGAATAAAAAACACAAGTGCGGATAGAATTGTTTGGGTATTCCAAAAATGAAGTTTTCAAGGAGGACAAACATTTCAAATTCAGCATTTCCACTGAACAAAGCAGCCAATGGAGTGTTTCAGTCCATGGAAATACCTTTTGAGAACCAGCACAGCCCACCGGCTGCAGCCCACCATTGGCCTACATGAGGCATGCAAGCAGGCTACCAATCCATAATTTTATATTCAATAGAAGCAAATTGCACATACGTCTATAAAAGATCCATTTAATATGCACACAAATTCCTGCGTCATCGTGCATTTTACAATCCTCTAAGAGGGAAGCTCTGACAGAACTCCCTATGCGAGGCACTGCTCGAAGCCCAGGACAGCGCCCAACCCGAACCATTTCACACCAGCCTCAAAACCTTTTTTATCCGGTATACCATATGCCTCCAGCTCGCTGTCTGCCACCTTCAGTTTTTAGTTTCTGCGGGAAGCAGCATGCCAAATAGCACGAAGCCTGTTGTTAAATCATGTTAGATTTCTCTCCCTGGACTAGACTGGAGCTGGACTACAAACGCACCTCAAAGAGCCTTTATTCCAGGAATTATTAAAGAAACCCTCCCGTCATGGAGTAAACACATTAAGCGTCATTACATGGACATTCTTCAAAGCAAAATGGGTCTAAATGCAGGCTAAACATTAGACGCTCGGTCTGACACTGCTTGTTGTGCTGCCAGAGGGCCGTGCACATCACCACCAAGAGGACTGAGCACAGCCTTGGGGTGGTTGTGTTGCCGGTTAGATTCAGGCCATGGATTTAGGAGCCAGGGGTTGTTTTGCAAAGCTTCACTATCTGGGAATTCCTCTTCTAATGCTGCAGTTGGGTCGGGCTGAAGTTGTCCGAACTGTGCAGGTCCCCTGAGAGGAGGCAGCAGCGGGGCTGGCAGTCGGCGCGCAGCTGGTACAGGAGCCTGGCCAGGACCCATCGACGAGCGGCATTCCTTGCTGTAACATCTCCAAATACTACAGCCAGACAAAACCCAGCAAGGCCAGCAGAAATCTCTTGATTTCATCGCTGGAGCTGCTATCTATTTCAGTAGCAGGTTTCACCTCCAAAAATAGTCCTCGCAGCTCAGGCAGTTCGTTTTCTTCCCAAGTTGGTTGGCAGCTGACCAACCACTGCTGCTATTAAAAGCAAGCACTGGCGATGGCTGATCCGAGAGCTGTTTAATTTGACAGGGAAATGGTTTAAGCCCCATATTGCTTTGTGTTAGGCCTACCTGAAAGTCTGCAGCTTCACCTCCCTTGCCACCTGTGAAACTCAACGATGGGCTGGGTCCCCTCGGACAGCACCCGCAGCCCAGCGAGGGGCTCCTGCTGCTGCCCGCAGCCTGATTCCTCCCCTGCACCCATGGGACCTCGGGGGGAAGCTCGAGTCCCTCCGAGCTGAGGTATTTGTTTCATAAATACAGACAGACCTTCAGCCTTCAGGGCTGTCTGGAATCTGTCATCCACGCGGTAATTCACTCCGTTTTAACGAAAGCCTGGAATATGAATAATCTCCCTTCCATAGGCCCCGAAAATGAGAAGCATTCTCTCTTTAAATTATTCATCACGTTATTATTACTGAGAGTCAAAGGGCCCTTTAATGGAATAACATCTTAAAAGTATGTTTGCATTAAAAACAGAATGCCACATCTTTAAAAGACCATCTCTCTCTGTTAGCCTCCGCTGAATTATAAGAGAAATGAGTCCAAAATCGTGCTTGTAGCTCAAGACAAAACTCCTCTCTGATACACAAATCAATAGATGATTTAATCATGTTTTATTGCTTTCTTTGCTTCAGTCTGGGGTCAAGAAAAACCCTGAGAACATCCTATTTGCTATTTTCCCAAGTCACACTCACTCAACATGCACCTGCTTTTTAATTCTAACCTTCGGGCCTTCTCCAGCTGCAGGGCAGCAGGGAGACTGAAAGAGCAAGTGTGTGGCAAGAGGAAGGTATTTATTCCCTTTTTGGGCTGCAGCTTGTTGAAAGGTTTTTCCTCTATGATTATCCTCTGAAGATGCCAACAAAATTACGATGAAAAAAAAAAAAAAACAGAGCTAAAATGCTCATTATACAGCAGCGTGCTGCACCATCAGGCTTGATAACATGTTATCCTGGTGCCTTGAGTGCAGCCCAACACACCTTTTTGCTAGAAACGCTATTTGATATAAAGCATGAGTTTAGACCATTACTCTAAGTTTTAGGGGAAGAAAAAGAATAGTAGAAAATGCACTATTTCAATACTGGACTGAGATTTTTTTCCCCACACTCAAAGTACATCCAAAAGATTTGCCAAGCGCTGTGTCCGAGCTGAGTGGCCGTGTTTCTCACAGACCAATAACCGATTGATTTCCAACCACACAACACTGGTTGATGTCCAAAGTGACATGCACTAATCCCAGTGAATGAATTCGCACGCAGTATATGTAGACCCTTTTAATTCCTTGACTTTTTCTAACAGTGGAAAAACTTCTGAAAATGCTTCACCTCAAGATGGAAATCTAGGTTCCTGCTCTCCATCTAATCTGTTTCTACTCCACCGCTTTAACCTCTCTCTGACACCAATGAGGAGCTGATGGCTCTGTTCTGCCTTGTACTCTGGAAGATATCCATAGTTCAATTAGAATCAGTAAGAATTTTGAGCCTAGAAACTAACACATTATTTGAAAATGAACTGCTGATTTTTATTCCCCACGAGTCTCCAAGGAGACATTCAATTTTTATAGTATTTATTTAAAGTTTAAAAAAAATGAAATGGATTTTATCTTGGAGGTTGGAAATGCAGTTTAAAGCTTGATTGAGGGAATTAATGGACAGCCATGTTCCAGCTTGGGGTTATGCATTTATCCAGCCATCCTCCTCCCAAAAGCCTCTAGGCACAGGGCTGAAAGCAGACCCTCACTCCTCTGCCATTCCCTGCTGCTCCCACCTGCCTCCAGCATTAAGACCGACTGCTCTGCACTGCCTTCTAATGGCATTCTGTAGGGTCTGGTATGGGTACATTCATCCCTGTGCACTAAATGATTTAATGACTTTCAGTGGAAATATGGCTTACACACACTCAATTCCTTCCCCTCAGTCTAGTTAAAACAAGCTCTGATTTGCCGTTTCTTGCCACTTTTCACCGGTGGTTAGATCTGTCCACTGCACGGCTTTTAGATAGGCATTTATTTTTCAAGATACATAAATAGAAAGATTTTAGAAATTAGAGATACGAGAAGACTCCAATTATATAAAAAAATTGGCACCTGGAGGATTGTATGGCAAGATAAACCTCCCCACAAGTGTTTATTATTTCTTAGCAAACAGACACGCTGGAAGCAAAATTACTGCTTTCTGCAAACAACCGAAGGATTTGTTTAGTAAGCTGAAAGCAAAATAGACAAATCTGCCTCAGTTATGTTTATATGAAAAAAATACTTTAGTATAAAAACTTGAGTCCTAGTGTAAGTCTCACAAAGGCACATCATGTTTCATTTCCACTGCCAGAATAAGAGGGTCTCCTGACAATAGGCTTAGGTCCTCCCCAAAGCCGTCTTCTTGAGCAGAACAGAAGATCCATCCCCAAGGCACAAAAATTGCCTTCTGCACTTTTTCTCATTTAATGGCCATAAAAAAATCCCCGCGTTTGAAGAAGCGTTTTTCCTCCATTACGCACTAATGGTTAATTCACCACACAAAAAGCACTACTTAAAGACCAATTTTACAGTTGGAATTGAAAAAAGTATGGAGAACAATCACTACTCAAGACATTACGGGATGTGAAGTGTTGAATTCAGGAGATGACACCACCTACCAGGGGGCTCAGTCAGCGTTGGCACCCCACCTCCACGCCTGTCCCTCCACGAGGCTGGTACCAGCACTGCCAACAACCCACGGCCACCACGGGCTGCTGGGTTCCAGATGGAAAGGCACGGACGTGGCACGGAGAAGCACGCTGGTGGCTAGCAGGACACCGGGCTGACCCGTGCTGCCTCCTGCAGGCTCCGGCCCCTGCAGAGCTCTCCACAGCAGCAGCCCTGCAGAGCATGCAGCAGCTTTGCTTCCCAGGCCAAGTAAAATGCTTGCTAACTAAGAGCTGTCAGGCTGTGATGACACACCAGGCATCCAAAGAGTAAGAACAGCCCCCCAGAGCTGGAGGTTGCACAGCCGACAAGAAATAGATAGGAAAACACAGGTTGTCAGGAGGAGACAGAGTGTGAGAAACACATCCGATGAGCTCTAACCGCTCCTCGCCGGAATATCACCAAATCACTCATCCCTCGTCTGGTGCTGAGATGGAGAAAAGTGAAAGGATGGTACTCTGACAGAAGTAGCAAGGAAATAAAATGTTCTTGCAGAACCACGGAGCTGTGGTCCTCATTTCTGTCCCTGCAGATCACCTGAAGAGGCCCTTCCGTGCCTGTCTGGCAAAGCTCAGGGAAGATCTTTTGTTCCTTCCAGCTTAATTTTGAGTATTTCCACATTCCCAACATGTGTTGTTTCTTCTGCTGTAACTCAATATGCAATACTCACATATAGGAGAAATAATTCACCTTGCATAGAAACAGATTGGGTTTTCCTTTGAGACACCAGCAGGAAGTCATGGAAGCTACCCAGAAAGTTTTGTTGTTCACTGCAAAGAAAGCAAATAGGAGGTTTACCCACTATTTTTCCTAACAATAATTCACCAAATAGCAAAATCATCATAAAGTATCACTGATAATGCACATTTCTGTAACAAACCATAAACTTCTTCACTGCTGCTTTCACAGGGCCAGCCGCTGGAGCAGAAAGGAGACCCCAGATCCACAGCAGGCTCAGCGGCAGCGCAGGGCGCTGATGGACGATTGTTGTGGTACTCACTGCTGGTGTCTGAGGGCACAGGTACCACCACCGGTGGGGTAGGCATAAACAAGTACAGATTGTGATGCTGTGATGATCTGTGATCCGGAATATCAAAGAGTGAGGAAAAAAAATGATGCCTGTCAGATAGGAAAGGATAAGAATAGCCGGGGACTAATGAGGTACTGCCAAGATGTGACAACAAAATGACTCATAAGGAGACTGAACACCACAAACGACGAGGAAGGGGAATATTCTGATGGCTTCCTTCACTTTTCACTAGAATGTCGTTCTGTGAACTTATTTATTCAGTATTTTCTCAGACTAAAACAGTCTTATCAAAGGCATATGATAGGAAGTGTTACTAAGAGATCTTGAGGGTAGAGCTTGGGAACTGCAATACTGTGAGCGAAACTTCACCTTTTGCTTGAAGCATAGGACCAGGGCTCAGGAAACAAGTTCTATTCTTGGTTCTCGCACAAATTTTCAGAAACCTCTTTCAATTTTTCTGCTTCAGCCTTCTCATCGGTGTGAAGGAAGGCGGTGTGCCTTCCCCCTGTATCCCAGCCGTCAGTGCCGCAGTGCAAAGTGTGAGCAAAGTGCCCCTCATCCCATCGCCCGGCTGCAGCAAGCAGCACCGAGCATCTCCTGCACCCCGGCACGGAGCAGCCCGCAGGCCTGCAACACAAACAAAAACCCCACAGGGAAAGCAGAATCGCAGAATATCCCGAGCTGGGGGTACTGAAGCATTTTCCAGCTATTTCCTTTCCCAACAGAAAGAAAATTGGCATTTGGGTAACAGCCCCCAGCCCAGTTTCTGACTCGCAGCCCAGCTGTGCTTACAAACCCCAAAAGACCTGGAGCATGCGGTGTCCCTGCAGCATGTACCGCGCTGCACGTCGCATGGAAATTTATCCAGGAGATAACCAATTTCTCCTCAATTTCTCCTGTCAAGGTTACAGCCTACTGTAACCCAATTAACCGAAGAGCAGCTTCCTCAAGGCAGGGAGGCTAGAGAAATGCTCCTGCACTAATATTGCCAGATTTGCATTCTCTTCACAGAGCCCATCAGTATCTGCTCGGAGTTGCTTGGGCCAGCAGAGCCAACCCAAACTTCGGGGGAAACGCCGCTCATCCCACAGGCGCTCTCAGTGGCAACATCGGCAGATCAAACTGGAGGAAACCTAAAGCAGGCACTGGCACCAGGCTGGCTTCCCTGGCTGCTTCAGCTGCCTGACTGGGCTTGACTGGTGAGAGCAGCAATTCACTCTTGCAGGGAGGATGACATTTGAATTTAATGGACAAAAATATCAGTGTATGTTCAATGAATTTAACAATGCACCCATGCCA